TTACATTCACTTCTTTCTATGAACCCTCCGTCGCGATGGTTGTCAAGCGCTGCTTAAACTCGTCATGTTCTCTTTCCGCCGACTCTTTGGTCATGTGTGGCAAAGTGGGGTGTCTAGAAGCCGTTACAGATTCGTCCGGGGGCATGCAATGTGATATCTGTAACCGTTGGTTCCATAAGACCTGTACTGGCTTGGATCCTAGACAGTATACTCTTCTGTCCAGTAGCGAGAGTTTACTCTGCCCTTGTAGTGACTTTTGTGTGCTCAGGACTGAGCGTTACACGCCAGTGAAGAGCAGTTCTGTTTCTCTGAAAAGTGTACTGTCTCTGGTTGTCTCGTTAGACAGGAAAGCTGAATGGTTGTGAAGGGTCTAGAACGCTCACATCTTCTCTGTCAGGCGACAGTAGAAGACACTGGCAAGTTGTCGGACCCCGCATCTGTTTGTTCACCGTTCAATGTCAGTATACCTGTTAGCAACGACCCTATTAGTAACGTACCCTCAGATAGCGTGTTTGATTCGGCTGTTAACGAGGGAGAGCAGCAGGCTTCTGCCCTTGTCAAAGGAAAGCGAAAGAGGGTTAACAAAGTGGCAAAACCCAGGGCAGACCTGAGACGTCCGTCGGATGTGCTATCCCCACTCCCCTCAAATTCTACTACTACGGGATTGTTACAGCTAGAATTATCTACGACTTTAGAGTCTATAAAAACGGACGCTAAACTGAAACCACCGGCGTTCACGTAGCGTTTGGTAAATACTACGCGTCGCGGAGACATACCGACTGCATTGTTATTTTCAGAAACGTCCCTGAGTCATCTCCCAAAAGACCGTATGCTAGATGACCTTCAGTGGTTTAGAGTATGCGTTACCAAACTCCTGCCGCACGGCTTCCGAGGCGTGACTGCGCAAACTAACCAGACTCGGTAACTTGCCAGCTGATAAGTCTCGCTCTCGCTTGTTGCGAGTTGTTCTGTCCACTCCGGAGGAGCGCCAAGCACTTCTGCGTTTCGCCTTTAAGCTCAAGGGCGCTGGTGTCATTGTCCACCTAGACCCCCCTTTGGCGGATAAGCTAAAATTGCGGGAAGCTGTGATAGAGCTTAGAGCCCGCCGTGAAGCAGGAGAAAAGGGTCTCCGGTTGATGGGTTTTTGGGCGGTGAGCCGGCAGTCCAATTCCGCCCTACCAGAGCCGGTTTTGGAGTCACAAGATCCCGGACTCACCATGCTAAATCCCTTCAGGTGCGTAGCCTGCGAAACAAGCTGTGCGAAGTTGGCGCCCTTGTGGGCGACTACCGTCCAGATGTTCTCGCATTCACTGAAATGTGGTTGTCCACCGACGTCACGGACAACGAAGTGTGCTTGCCAAGCTATGCACTGCTAAGGTGTGACCGCACCTCTGATCGGCGCGGAGGTGGCGTTGCTTTGTACGTTAACTCAGCACTTGCTGTCTTCAAGACGTATAGTTTCCGATCACCAGACGGTGATGTTTAGGCACTCGCAGTTAACCTGTGTATTGCCTCCGCGCAACTTAAAGTTGTGCTGGTCTGTAGAAGCCCGGACAGCTTTGCTATGGGTCTCGTTGATTTCATCCGTGAACATTCGGCAGACATGTGTTTAGTAATGGGGATTTTACTCTTCCCGACGTTGACTGATAGCATTTTTCCTGTACGCTGTTATAAGGTGTTTGGCTACCGATCTTCTCCAACTGACCTTGCATGCTCCCCTGCACCAATTTGTCGATCGGCCCACTAGATTAATGATGGATCAGGACCCGTCCCTCTTGGACTTGATCTTCGCTAAACCCATTGGTTTTGTCACGGATATTGTTTACAACCCACCTCTCGGTGCTAGCGACCACGCATGTCTCATTTAAGTGCGCCCTTAGTCCTCAGACTAATGATCGTCCCGACCGAGTTCCAAACATACGGCGCGCAGACTTTCAGACAATGAAAGTCGAGGCCGCAAAGTCGCCTTGTGTCATTTTGGAAAGTGACGACATTCAAACGGCCTGGGACAGATTTAAATCATACTTGAGTGATCTCTTTCTCCCCCATATACCTCTATCTGGCAGGAATAAAACTAAGCCAAAACCACCCTGGTTTGATTCTTTTGTACGCGAACAACTTAACAGACATGCCAGATGTTGGCGTACTTACTTATCTGCTCCATCATCATGCACCTTCAAGCGCTATCATGAAGCTCGAAATGCCAGCAGGCAGCATCTAGGAGGTGCTCGACTACAGCATGAAGTAGAGCTTGCTGGTATAGGCTCATGAAATCCGAAACGCTTCTTCGCGTATGTCAAAAGGCGGAGCAACATGAACTCGTGTATCCTACTGTTATTTGGCCCTGACGGCACTGCTGCTGTCACAGATCACGGAAAAGCTTGTTTGCTCGGAGGACAGTATGCTGGGGTTTATGTTCGAGAGTCGCAGCTGCCGCATACCAACCTGCATATCCTTTCGATCGGCTGTAACTAAGTGTCATCAAGCTACCGCTGAGGCATGTCCAAATATTTGGCGGACAGACTTTAACGCAATGCGTGACAAAGCTTCAGTTCTGCGTTGCGCGATCACTATGGCTGACACCGTTGAGACAGCCTGGGAGAAATTTAAGGCATACCTCACCGAGATCTCTGCTCCCCACATCCCATTCATCAAGAGACGGGTGACACGGGCGCAGCCTCCTTGAATAGATCTTACAAGTAAATACCCGATCAGGAAGCGCTCTGAGTGCTGGCGAACTTACCAAGCGGCTTCATCCACCAGCATCTACGAAAGCTATCGACCGGTTAGAAATAAATGTAAGCAACCTCTTAGGATTCTTCGTCTTCAGTACGAGGAGGATTTGGCTAACACAGCCGTAACGGATCCAAAGTTCTTTGCTTACGTAAAGAGACGCAGCGGTACAAACTCGTCTATACCGGCTTTAATACAAGCGGACGGGACCCATGGGCATACCGACTACAATAATGCTTGTATACTTAGCGAACAGATAAAACCTGCTCAACCAGCCGTTTGCGAATGGCGTTCCAACACATGTTTGCAACCTAGTTAGAGACTACTTCACAAATCGCACTCGATTCACCCAGATTAATGCAGCGAAGCCTTTTACGGTTCTCTCTGGTCGTGATGTTTTACAAGAAACCATTCTCCCACCTGCTTTATTTCTTTATACATTGAAAGGCTCCGCATATCATCTAACTTTATTTGATGCAAGTATGCTGAGGTTGTCGTTTTGGAATGCGTTACTCTGACCGTCGAGATATAATACTCTTCACAAAATGGATCCCTGATTTCGAACAGTTCTATATATCGTGACTTAACATTCTCATTTCTCCGAGCTGACAAGTTACAAGTTTTTTTCGGACGCCACTTCTCCATTGGCAGTGAGTGACCAGCTTGTACCCAGATCGTCACGTATTAAATATCTCGGTATCTTTTTATCTTGACGCTTATCATGGTCTTTTCACTCTGCCGAAATGGTATGTAAGGTTATCCGGTTGTCATTTCTACGTCCTTCGACTCAGAGTACTTTCCGTACCCCGTGACTTGGTTTTTTGATTTGTGACTACAAGCGTTCTGCCGTTTGGGCTCTACTGCTCCTCCTTGAATCTTTGTTGAATTACTCAGAAAAGGCTACACATATTGGTTACACGATCCATAAAGCCTTTTGCACTTGCACTGGATTGTCTAGAGAGTGGATTTTGTTGTTAGAAGCAGGTGGACACTTGTACCAGTAATTCCTTCAAGATTCTAAACGGCGCTCTTCATCTACTACGTTTTGGCCTATCAAAAACAGTAGCTGTTTTCTCTACCCGTTTCAAATTTAAGATTCTATTTTCTCGTACCGCATCTTGCCGCATTTCTACCACACTTACCCCGCTTACTTGTTTACCCAACTGAAACTACCACTGTGATGCAAAACTATTTTCTCAAGTCGCATGTGAAGACGTTTTTTAGACGTTTTATTTTTTTCTGTAACAGTCATTTCAAATACTTCATTCGCAGTGTTCGCGTAACATGCTGACAATCTATCCGCCTACTTAAAGCCTACTTTCACTCGATTTGGCTTGACTTTTTCGGAACTCGGTAAATTGTCACTCGTCATTTTTCAGGGACACGGTTTTCGATTTCATCGTCCACTTATACGGTTTCGAAATTAATCTACTCTTTCTGATTAGCAGCAACAAGTTGATTCGCCCTCCCGTTTTCACTTTCTATGGCCGTTGGAGTTTGAGACACCTATCATGGCAATTAGCTTCACTATACTTCGGTGCGCAGATCGTAGTTAAGAGACTGATCTAGACTGAACACTTTGTCTTTTTCACTGCTGCTCTGCCATTTGTTTTTGACTTTTATCTTAGGACAGTCGAACCTGTGTAAGGCGACTACTCAAGGGACTGACAAAATGTGATCGCTATAGACAGGTGGTCACCACAGCAGGTTGGACTCTATTCCGAATTTGACGTACCCGCCATGCGTTTTCGTGCGGCATACCAGCTTTGGTCACGTCGCAGCAATCACCTCGTTTAACAGAAATTGGTTTGTTGTAGAACACTTCTGCTCATTTTCTTCACTGTACTGTTTCTGTCTCCATTCTCACACCGAATATTTTTAACAACTGGCGTATCTGTCCATTCATCGCAGGCTCATTGATGTCATTTTGTGGTCAATGACCTATCGTACTTCACACCTTCGATAGCCTGACTCAGCGCTTTTCGTCAGTTATGTAGAATTGCTAGACGGTTTAGATTGTGTGCTCTAGTCAGTTGGGAATCCGTTTGTTGCTGTTTGGTCCCCGATCTAGTCGGTCCGTCATTCGTTTTGCCTTGAAGGTTTAAGCCCCATCGTTCACCTCTTATTGGTTTTCGTGTCTTGTCGTCTTATTTAAGCTGTACTGGTGTTGTCAATCTTCGCTATGACTCAGATACCTGGTATACGAACTCCTGCTTGTCGTATATTGTTTCTTTCCCAATCTCCGTGTTTTCTATTGCAGATTTTTTGTCAAAAACATTACAAAATACTAAAAAGCTCTTTCTCTGTCACGGACGCCGTTTACTATGCATTAGTATCAATCGGATTTAAAGTGCCACCGGATTGTATGCGTCATCAGCACACTTCTTTATTGAACTGATTATGATAGCGTCGCGCAACCCATCACTTTGTGCAGTGCTTAACGGCCGTCTTTATCTATTTGAAGAAGAGCTCATGAACGGAGTGCAGCGGAATGGTGTGGTATTTCTGGCCGAACAGGATGATTCTTTTGGTCCTTTTAAACTTCTACTTCATAAAAGTAAGCTTTCTTATTCACAGCGTCGGTAATTTTAGAATTACATTTCGAAAAGCCCGACGAGTCCGAACACTCTCTAGCAACTAAAAGTTACAGCGGCATCATTTACGGTACAAGCGGCGAAGTTACACCACTGAACAATGTTTTCCGTCTTGGTTGCACTCAGCAACTTTGTCCTATGCAGTTCACTTCGATGGAGTCAGTTTCCGACTTGTTTCTTCTGACTTTTCGTGGATCCGTTAGTCATCTGTCTAATCGGCTCCTAGTCAGCTCTATAGATTCTTCATACAGGATCAGTGTTTGTAGAATATGACAAGGACGATATATCCATTGTGAAGGAAGAAGATAATGGTTGTCTGACCGTCGTATTGGCCGGGAGCTTGCATGGTCAGTCCCTTTGGGTTGTTCTCTGTAACATTCTCGCCTAATTGTCAATAATCCGCTATTTTATGCACACAATTTTCACTTCGCCGACTTATTAGACTTGATCCTTTTGCTGTGCTATATTCTTAATTGTAAGTAACCTTCGTTTTACTCATGTTTTTCCTTTTTGACCTGATATTCAGTATGGTATGCTTAGATCAATCATCTCGAATTGCTGCGTCTATGATCGTTATTTCCCTGCTTCTCTTCAGCCATGCTATTCTCGTCTCAAACGGAAACGTCGTTGCTTTTCGTTCATATTTCTCGAAAACCCATCGCCGTAACAGATACCACGGTTACTGAACTGACTCAGTCGTGCACTTTTCAATTTTCACTAACTCGTGTTTTTGCTCTCGACAAATTTCAATATCTGAAGCTTTATGCTGGGGTGAGAGGGGTTTGAAATGAGGTGGCGTCCATTTCTGTAAAATTTAATCAGTGCCACCTCCCCGCTGCCTTGCGGACAGGCTTTTGAGCCAAAGCCTTTGGATGAGAACCCTTATCGTCCTACTGTCGAGGTCTGGGCGCCCTGACAGTATTTCAGCCCACATGTAACCATGACTTTTCCTTCAAACATAAACTTTATCCCGCATCAAGGCTCGCCTTATCTGCTGCATACAGCAGGGCTCATGAGCGAAAACATGCTACTGCTGGCACCTCCCTTTTTTCTTTTCCACCCGTTTCTCTTGCTCTTATCCCACCCCACCCCCATTACTAACCTTCCTTCTATAATTCCCAGCTTAATTGACGGCAACCGAAGTGCCACTGGAGTGGAACCATCTGCAGCCACCATCTCACAACATCCATCCGACACGTATCGGCAACAGTCCCTTATAAAACCACACGGTTCCATTTCCCTGAAGGCGTTCAACGTTCGCACTCTGAGACAAATAGGTCGACAGGCTGCACTCACACGCACCTTGAACACACCGGGGATTAACGTGTGTTGTGTCCAAAAGTAAGATCAGTGACCCTAATGGGGTTGTTGAATTAAATACACCCGGCTTATCCTCTCGTTATTGGTTGCACGCATCCGGAGACGCTCACTGGTCAAGCTGGTGTAGTTATCATTCTAAGGTACAAGGCTGAGTCATCGTTGGTTGATTGGATTCCGGTTAACAGCCATTTATGTGCAGTCCGTTTGACGACATCAGCTAAGGTTCATTCACGAAGTAGTAAAAGACGCTGTTTGTTTTGGATTTTCGCTTATGCTCCCACCGACTGCAGTTCTAATGCAGTCAAGGACACATTCTATCACGCACTGAATGCGCTACTACGCAGTGCTACTAGTTCAGACATTATAGTACTTGCGGAGGATATGAACGCACAAGTAGGGCGTCTGAGCTCTTCGGAAGCTCAGCTGGGTGATAATTAAGGGTTTAACTCCGAACGGATTGACAACAGCGAGCGTCTGCTGTAACTGTGTGCAGAACACTAGTTGTTTCTTAGTAGCACTGCTTTTAGACACAGTGGTCGTCGAAGTGACACTTGGCGTCCTCTGGTAGCTGGCCAGCGATGGACCCAATTTGATTACGATGCTATAAGTTACAGGTGGGGCGATTCCATTCTGGATTGCCGCTCATACTGGAGTACCTGTGTCGACTCTGATCATGCCTGCGTGCGCTGTCGTTTTTTCATGAACTTTACCCGGAGGCGCACCAAGCGTCCCCTCCGATTGGCAACTGAGAAATTTTCTCAGCCGTCGATCAGGCAAGTCTATCAAGACGCACTGCGTACCGAATTTTCGCAGTCTTGTCCAAATGCCAATAAGCTTCGGTGGAATAGGATCTCTGCCGCCATGCACGACGCAGGAGCTTCTGCTTGTGGCACTGTCAATCGTCACCGCACCACTCATTGAATATCCGAGAGGTCGGTGAACTTGTTTGAATCTAGAAGAAACCTCCCGGCTGGCTCTGAGCACAATGTGATCAGGCGGACTATTAGGCTCGAACTGAAGCGGATCCTACGTGCTGACAAGGAAGACTGGTGGAACGGTCGGGCTCAAGAAGTAGAGGAGGCAGGAGCAGTAGGCAATTACCGAAAACTTTTCCAACTAATCCGCACCACCGGTCCCAGAAAACCAGGCATCAGTGAGACAAGCAGTGACAGCGCGGGTGCACTGACACACACTAAGGAGCGCGATATGGCTCGTTAGGCAGAACACTTTCAAGATCAGTTCAGCTGTCACCCTTCTCCCATACCGCTTCCTACTCAAGTGATATAAGACAATCCATAGACGCTTAATTTACTGGCTCCATCGGAGGTGTAGGTCCGAAAATCCACTACGGTCCTCGACCGTTTTCGTACCGCTGGTCCGGATTCCCTTCCACCTGCACTATTTAAGGTTGGAGGTGAGATCCTCCGCAAAACACTGACCTCCTTATGCGAACCTATCTGGAAGGTGTCCCGGCTAACTGGAGTGAAGCGATTATAGTGGTCATATAAAAGAAGCGCAGTCACACGAACTTTGCTAACCACAGGGGTATTACCCTAACGCCAGTTGTGACAAAAGTACTGGTCTGGATTCTCTTTCGTCACCTCATTGGGGAACGGGAATTTCGGATTAGGGAGGAGCATGCAGATTTGCGCCCAGAACGTGACTGTATAGCCCAGTTATTCACTTTACAGCAGGTGCTAGAGCAGCGCCACGCATACCGCAGATCAACAATAGCTGTGTTCCCCGATTTCAAGTGTCCGTTCGATTCGGTCGACCAGTGCTTTCTATGCGAAATACTTGCGCGAAAAGGTGTTCCCACGAAATCTGTGCACATGCTGCGTGCTCGAACACTACAGGCCGCGTCAGCGTCTACGGTGGCCTGTCGAATAGGTTTTCGACCACAAGTGATGTTCCTCATGGTTGTCCGATTTCCCCGTTTTCTTTCACTTTCTTAGTGGACTCTGTCATGTGTGCTCCCTTGCGGAATCTCATTATGTTGGCGTGGAGCTCCTTTCTGGTGAAAGCTTAGTTGATCTTGATTATGCGAATTATCTCGTCTTGCTTTTCGACGATGTTGCGGCGTTTCAATCTACCCGGAATAACCTGTCTAGAGTGGTCGCATTATTTGATATGCGCTTGGCTGTCGCGCAACCTCCACCGGTCACACGTGGGTTAAGGATACTGCGAGGATCGCCCGGTGCCTACGCGGGCTCGAACCTGCGCCGTCAGATTATAAGACAGGTTTTTGATCCTTAAGGCTACAGACCGGAAAAAAACGAGCTGGCAGCATCCTCAACTGCGGAGACAAACGGGCCATGCTCAGGAGGTATGGGTCGAAGAGGACGTTTTCATAGGCCACATGCCCACACGACCGATGCCGATGACCTATAATACACTGAACCTTTCTCCGAACAGTTTCTTGTTGCTCTAGCAGTCGCAGAGGACAATCAAGAGGCCCTCTCTGCTACATCGAGCAGGGTGGATAGGGGTTTGTATGCTACGGCTCAGACCGTCCTGTCTTCTTATCCTCCTTGCGCTTTTCCATCCTTATCGTCCCACTGCAACTTTACTTTTATCCTTCATTTTCAATTCTCCAATTCTTGGCCCTCCCCCAGCTTTCTTTAATAGTCGCTTGTCTTCTAGTTTCACGTCACGCACAGCGGCAGGACGTCGTTCCAATCCAGTCGACAAGCCCATGTTCAACCAGGCGGACAACCTCAGTTCATCCGTTTCCCTTTGGAGTCCTCGAGTCTCGCTAAGACTGACATGCCTTAACGTGCGCACTTTACTACAGATTGGCCAACAGGCAGCACTTACCAACACACTAGATACCCTATCGCTCGATATTTGCTGTTCATCAGAAACCCGCCTGCAACATTCGAGCTGCCTGCTTACGCTGCGATTCCCGACTTGCGACACTGGCGGCACATTCTCATTGCGCCTTTCTGGCGATGACGCAGCTTCAAATGCCAGTCAATCTGACCTCAGCATTGTTTTGAGTCCCCGAACTGAAGCTGCCCTGATCGATTGGATCCCAGTTATCAGTCGGATGTGCGCCGTTAGATTGTTCCATGTTTGTTCCATGCTACGAAGTGCGGGAACAAACGGTGCCTGCTTGTCATTACGACCTACACCCTCACAAACTGTAGCACTGATCAGATGAATGATGACTTTTATCAGCAACTTCACGATCTCCTTCATTACAGAAGAAGCATGGATACTGCGGTGTTGGCTTGCGATCTAAGCGCTCAAGTCGGAAAATCGTCCTCTGATGAGCTTCAACTGAGCGGCCAACATGGTGTAGGCTCCCGTAATGATAACGGTGAGCGATTGCTACAGCTGTGTGAAGATGCTCGTCACTTTCTCGCGAGCACTAACTTTCGACAAGACCCCGCAGTAGAATGACTTGGCGCCCACTAGCTTCGCACCAGCCACGGACGTAAATCGATCATATCGCGATCAGTTACCGCTGGAGAGGCTGTATCCAAAACTGTCGCTCGATTTGGAGCACGAGCGTGGACTCTGACCACGCACTTGTCTACGCCGACCTCCGTGTGCCTTTCTGTGGATGTCTTTAACGTCGATGGTTGCCGCATTCCGATCGTGAGACCCTTGGAAACCGTCGTTTGGGATAGTTTCCTGTTCCCACCGTTTCATTACTAACTCGTGTAAATCCTCCACAAGATCACGTCCCCCGAATTTGAAGAGGGCTGGGGGAAGGTCATCTGGTCCCGCGGCTTTATTTAACTTCAACAGTCCGATCACACGTTCGATTTCTGAGCGAGAGGGCGGATCCAAAGTGAGAGCCCACGGAGCATGGCGAGCACTGGCCGGTAAGAAATCTGACAATTCCGACCGATTAATTTGCCTTTCAAGAGGCTCAGCCTAACGCTCCAAACCTTCTGACAACTTGTGGATAATCTGTCCACTCTCGTATCGTTTCACTAATACCCGATCTCCTGCTGCCCGTTTCTCTTATCAGACGGAATCACTTACGATGGTGACCAAGGGCAGCCGCTATTTCCATCTCTGATGCACCATGAGACCACCAAGATTGATGCTGTCTGTTCAGGCTAGCACGGAGTTTTGCCCTGAGGTTTCTGCGAGTCTCATTATTTTCGCTTCCAGCCGGAATGTGCTTGCGAACATCGGTAAGTTCCAGAGGCTGCGAAGTGACCCAATGTCCATGTTGCCGGTTAGACTTACCACATGAGAATTTGCCTGCTGCTAGTGTCTGGTGAATCTGCTACTTTAATTGTATCCAGTGAGCACCTACCTAACTCGCATGTTAGAGTACTTTGATAGTCATTCAGAACAGCAGACTTCGTAAGTTGGCTGGTGTCAATGCGCTCACAATGTCGTCGTGGGCATCCGCCAACACGCATTTGCAGGTCAATATCTACAAGTGTATGGTCGGTGTCCACACATGTGCTCCAAATCGAGCAACTGTTCTGAGGTAAGTTATTGTAGTGTGATCGATTTGCGTCCATAGCTGGTTCGAGGCTGGTGAGCGCCAAGTCACTCTACTGCGGGTGCTGTGTCGGCAATTAGTGCTCGCAAGAAATAAGCGAGCATCCTCACGTAAATGAAGTAACTGCTCGCCGGCATCTTTACGGGAGCCTACACCATGTTGGCCGCCCAGATGCAGTCCATCAGTGGATTGTCTTCCACCTAGTGTTCAGATCCCCAGCCAGCACAACACTGTCCGTGCTTTTTCTATGGTGAAGGAGCTCCTTCATTTGGCGGCAGTCGCAATGACGAATGGACACCTGTTGGTCCTGCGCGACTTCGAAGCTTTGAACGAGCCAGCCAATCGGATCGCACACATCTGGCTACTGATTGTGATCCTATCAGCCAGAGCAGCTTCAGCCCGGCGACTCAGGACAATGCCAACACCGGTTTGGCCGGTGCTCGAGGCTGCATCGTCACCGGATAGGCGCAGTGAGAAAGTGCTGCTGGTGTCACCTTAAGTGGATCGAAAATTAGGCACAGAGCTCGATTCTTGCAGGCGGATCTCCGATAAGCAGCAGATATCGGTCGAGAAGGTCTCTAATGTTCGGGCAAGTGCTGCCTGTTGACCGATCTGTAACAGTATGCGTACATTGAGGCATGCCAATCTGAAGGAGGATCGAGGGCTCCAAATGGAAGCCGATGAACTGGGGTGGACCGCTTGGTTGGATATGGGCTTGTCGATAGGACAGGAATGATGCTCCGCGTTCGCATGTGCGTTGAAATTAGAAGATAAACGCATATCAAAGCATGTTAGGGGAGGTTTAAGAATCGGGGGTTGAAAACAGGGGGTATACAAGTGAAGCTGGTACGGGACGTTGAGGGTGAAAATACGTAAAACAGTGAATAGGAAGACGGGAAGGCCTGAGCAGTAGCCTCCAAACCCTTATCCACCCTGCTCGATGCAGCAGATAGAGCACCGTCGATTATCCTCTGCGGTAGCCAGAGCATCAGGAATTTGTTTGGTGAGACTCATAGTATTGCGTGGGCAGGATATTGTCAGGTTGCCCAGGCGTAGACAGGAGAATGGCTAGGGTATTTAACCAAAGCGTTTCGTTCAAAAATCTGACTGCAAGGCAGCGGGTTTTTGTTCGGCTACAAGGAGTCCGTTTTAAGGAATAAGAAGCCACCGTAATTCTAACCCCCAATCTGGAGAACTAGGAGGCTGAGTTTGTCTGGCCTCTAACCATTGACCAATCTGGTATGAGTGGCTCTGAAGGTGCAAAAAGACACCGCCCAGCATGGCTTAATTGATCATTGAGGCACGCAAATTATCGCACAACGGTAAGGCCCAGTCTCATTGCGATGGCCGGCACAGCGCACCTTCGCTTCGATGCCATACAACCACCCACAGTCGCGCATGGGCTGCCTATGTCGCGAGATCGTCTGCACGTACGCAGACGTACGCGATCTCATTGTTGCAACGCAAGCGCTCAGTCCTTTCGGCAGGGGCCGATTAGGTCCGGAAGGCGATCAACACCGGTTAGGTACACACGTTTACGACCTCTGTAGCGCATGTGTGGTGAGTTTATTTATTTTGCCCCTTCCTGCTTAGCATTCACCTCTGATCACGATCTTACCGTCATTGCGTGATATAAAACAATGGGCTCTACTATTCTTGTTCTGTTTCGCCTTTGTTGTTGTTTTCATTTTTGCTGCTACCCGATTGAATTTTGTTGTGGCACAAATAACTGGGGTGTTTCTCACCCATTGCGTGAAGGACGTCATCGGCTGGACGGTTACTTTGTTCACTTTCTCATCCAGACTTGACATTTCATACCGTATTGAATGTCATGCACTGAAGGGCTCTTGCTCGAGTGTAAGATGATGGTCCAACCACGTATACGGACCAACTGTAGCGCTTGTACGGATTCGTCATCATCATCATCACACACGTCAGCTAGAGGTGGGAAACACCTCATCTACTGTGCCGCAATACATAGAAAAAAAGGAGAGCAAACATGCAACTGGTGCAAGCCGGCTGAGCTGCCGGTAACGAATGGGCATCGTTCCGGTAAGCTACCAGCCGGCTGCTGTGCATCAAAAAACATTTACTATGCAAACTTATATAAGGCTAAATAGTGAGATCGTGCTTGGAGGAGGAGGCTAAGAGGGATGGGGTGGGGCAAAGGAACTCACAGCAGGAACGCCACTGAGGTCGGCTCCTTGTCATGTCAGCAAGTGTATCCAGCCCAACGTGTTCATCGTCCTTTGGACCTCAACCAGGGAGCCGAGACGCTCCAAATGAGGCCAGCTTCTAAGTGAGGGTCTTCATTCCTTTGGACCAAGTCATCGCTTGGCCACCTCTCCATTTCTTCCATCCACGCCCCCGGCGCGCAAACAACGCACGTCGCGGGAGTCGGTGGACTGGCATGCGTAACACGTGGCCCGAGCAGTCGGAGCCTGGTGCGTGAACTAACGGTGCTGAGTGGTTCAGTTCCTTTTCCTATGACATAAACAAGGCGTCGAACACGCTCGTTGCTCACGCGGTTTTCCCCCCAGATGTGAGCTAAATTGCGACGGCACCGGTGGTCGAACGTAACTAGCCTCTTCAGGTCCGCTGCTTTAAGGAGCCAGGTTTCACAACCGTACGATAGGGTCGAACTTACCGCTGCATTGTACACTCTACCCTACAGGCGAGAGTGATGTCGCGCCGGCGCCGTAAATGTCGAAGGTTAGCAAAAGCAGTTAGGGCTTTTGCCTTACGGTTCCTGATCTCGTTCTCGATCCCAAGGGAGCTGATACAACTTCCCAGATAGTTGAATTTTTGAACGACTTTACCTGATCCTCACCAACGGTCAGCATAGGAGGCGGTCCAGACCAGTCTTGGAGGAACGCTTTGCACTTCGAGGGTGCGAAGCAAAGCCCGAAGTGACGGACAGCTAGTACTGATCTGTCCAGTGCCACTTGGCACGTCTGGGTGCTGTCATAAATTAGGGTAATATCGGATTCGTAAATGTAACTATATATGTAACCTCCCGTTATTCTTATGTTACTGACCTTCAAGCTGGTTCGTTTGAAATACGCATACCGCTTATACGCTGCTGCAGCATATTGATGACAACAGCTATCCATTGGTTTTGGTTCCGGCACACGAATTATTTTTGTTCTGTAGGGAACAACACTGGCTTAGTATTGATGCAAATAGAGGCGATTAAATGCCACTTCTTGTCTTGCAGTTATAAAGCTAGCTGACGGTCAATTGAACGGATCGATCTTTTCAGAATTATGCAGGCCTAGATTCTGTTAAGGAGGATACAAACCTCTCCATGGCCAGTCGAGCACGACTAATACACTCCAATAGTCATGGGGCCCTTCACGTTTTTAAGCAGTTTTGTCTGACCCTAAGGTACACTAGTACACTATATCTTGTCCGACGCTTATATGCGTCAACAGAACAGCAGCCCCATAGGAACGAGGTACATTCACATCATTCATTCACTTGCTGTCCCCTGTTTAATTTGCCTGATAGCGATGCGCGGTTTTGTCCCACAAATGGAGTCGTGCTCTATCAGTCTTTGTTGTTACAATTTTCGATCGAATTCACTGTTGACTCCTTTAGAGTGCGTCTATGGTTCAACACAGTTACCCACATACTGAGTGCACCTGGATGCACTCATAATCGTTCAGCTTCACCAAGGTTCCTCTGGTTCTTGGCTACAAGTGTTTTCGACGTTTTGCCTCTGTTTTTGTTTGTTTAGGATTTTTCCTGTTCTGCTTTTTTCTCGTCTGTGGTTGATACGCTTGATAGATACTTTACAACTAGTCGTTTGTAAATCCCACTGTTTTCACAATGCAACTGAGGCAATATTGACGAAGATTAAATGGCCAACACTTCGTCCTTCTCTCTCGCTTCTAATTTAGTGTTACTTGCTATTTCGTCTTTCATTCATGTCGTCCTTATTTTTTACTCTCTGTTCATCTTGTTTTCCTTCATTTACTCTTTGTTTAAAGGTGTTGAAGGTCCAGTGCAAACCGAACCACCCATCTCCCTGCTCGATGTGTTCCTCAGACACGCTTATCGGAATCGGCCAACAACCTATACCCTGCCCACTCCGGAATGCGACACAGCCGTTGTTTACGCATGGAAGACTTCGAGCGCAACAGCTCAGTCGATAGTTCATGTGAGCTCGGTTGGAGGTGACACCAATTCATCACTACAGCTTGGTTCCGTCGCTCTTCTCAAAAGTGTCGGCGATGAGCTTGCAATCCACCTGTTGGATCACATAGATGGTTAGTATGCTTGGAAACCGATCTTTTTGATTGCACATCTCGTGTTACGGTTTCCTCGGGATCTCCTATCTGATTCCACCCATGCCGTTTGCCGGACTTTTGTTCACTTACAGGTTTTTTGCACGTCACTCCCTACTTTGGGATGTGGTCGATGCTCTCTCGCACTGACATTTTATCTTTGATACATCAAGCTGACTTCGAGGGCTGCAACTATTCTAGCGCTTTGATGGCACCTCGCACTATCTCCAACGCGCTCATTAATTTTTGAGCAATTGCATGACAAGGGAACAGTCTTCCCAGTTTTGCCTTGCAGATGACAGCGGTAGTGGCGTGGTCCACAATGTTTATCTTGTGTTCATGTTTCTGTCCAACGAGATATCTTCCAACGACCTATATTCTCTACTCTCTCTGCCCATGAGACCCATGAATACTCTCATGACCTCACTGAATAGATCTAATGGTTCACGCGTTTGGCTTTTTCCCTATGCTCCTCGATTTCTTAGACTGTACTTTTGCACCCCGGTACTAACCCAATCCACGTGAAACCACCTACATCTGCATTGTAACAAGGCGTGCCTGTAGTGATGTGCTTCTTCTGCTTTTCTCACTCCGATTGTTGCCATCTACTGCACACCCCATGAACGTACAAAATTCACCGGCTGAAATGCGAAAACACGGGATGTTGAAATTTACCATGGCCCTGTTTACCATTTGTCTCCTTCTTGCTTTTATCCATCCCGTTTTAAAGTTTATCTTGTCTCACTTCTATCCCATCCGGCATATACACTACTCGGCTACTCAAAACAACTAGTAGGCAGCCGGTGGCGGTTATCAGTAGCCATTATATTTCACTATACTAGGCCCAGTTCGGTTCTTTTTGCTCAAATATTAATGGCACATGTGGGACTCTAGTTCTAGTCGCTTCGATTCACGTCTCCATAATCTCACCGGACGGTGCCCACACCTGTTTTTACGTCTGCCTTGTATTCCGGAGTTCTGGGATCAAGCCAGTGCAGGGGACCTGACGACCCACGCGCGATTGTTGATTGTCGCGTGGTAGCGAAGCGCTGGTACTGCGTACTATGCTACCATCTCCCAATTATAACTGTACTGATTTCCCTATGTACTACTGGACATAGTAACATCTCATTGGTGGAGATCGTCACATCTCTAGACTTGTTTCAACTCGATCGGTTGAGTCATTCCCACGCTACAGCACTTTGTGTAAGGTCGTGTGTTGATACCTCGTTACGTTTGCAATAGAGCGAAATGTCGAGCATCGTTGCGCTATCATATTATGTATACAACTCATGAACTTTACCACCTAGACATTTGCAAATGTGACGGAAGCTTATAAAGATGCCACTCTATCGAGCAATATGGTTTTGGTAACATGCGAGGGGTGTTCAACAAAGAAATCGAACTTTTGAAATACGCGGAAATCGTCAGAGGGATCGCACTGCTGCTCCTGAGCGCATGTGGCGCCTTGGTTAGACAATCAGCTGCCATTTGCCGCATTTCCTTCTGACTGTTGGTTCTGGAACTACAGCCGCTGAACGGATCACGTGCACAAACTGTTCGTCGCAGTAGTGACAAAGTGACAATGGAAGGGCTTGGAGAACAGCGTCTGTGTACGAAATTTTGCTACAAACTTGGCAAAACTTTTACAGAGACATTTCAGTTGCTTAGCCAAGCATACGGGGAGGACTGTATGAGTCACACGCAGTGCTATAAGTGGTTTAAGTGTTTTGAACACGGCAGAATATCGGTCGGTGACGATCACAAGGTTAGACGACCTTCGCAGACGATGACCTTGTCGAGAGCGTTCGTGCTGTGGTCCGTGGAAACCGTCGTTTAACTGTTTGAAAAGTTGCTGTAAATTTATGCCATCAATTTCTAGTGCATTTGAGGGATGCTGTGCGCAGGAAGGGGCCTGATATTGCAACATGTCAATGGGTCGGCTCACACATCGCTCTTTGTCCGCAGCTATTTAGAAAAACATTACACTCCACTTGTGCCTCATCCACAGTATTCTCCGGATCTTGCCCCTGCAGACTTTTCTTGTTTTCCAATCTTAAAACCACGTTGAAAGGACATCGTTTCCAAACTATAGAAAAGATTCCGGAAAATGCGACAAGGGACCTGCGCGCCATCCCAGAGAGTGCGTCCCAGAAGTACTTTCCAAAAATGAAAACACCGTTGAGAACCGGATATAACTTGTAGAGGGGACTACTTTGAGGAGGAAAGTGTTTATAATGTTGCACAACGAGCAATAATGATCTTATTAGCTAATGTTCGGTTTCTTTTTGTACATCCCTCGTATATTGAAGACAACTCGTTTCGGAAGGCTAATATTGCCAACAAGCGATCAATGTTGTCCGAGCCTTGCTGGCGAAAGACTGCCGGTTGAATGTCGGAATAAGTGCATAAGAAATTGGCCTGGACAAAGGTGCAGTTACTGGAATTTTAACATAGCTTTTACACATGCGAAAAATTCGTGAAAATCTTGTGCCCAAAGACTTGTCTGTATAGAGAAAAGAAAGTCTTTGGGATTGTGCGGATTAGCAGGGGCTACTCGTACTTGAACCAAATGTCGGATAACATAATTGTAGGAGACGAATCACAGATGTTCGAGTAAGATCCCAAGACCAGCCAGCAAACTGAGGAGTTGCACAAGCAAAATCCCCCTCCAAGAAAGTGCGCATGAGCAGATCTAGGGTGAAAACAACGGTGGTTTATTTTTTGACAGTCGTGAAATTGTACACAATGAATTTATGGACAGACAGTTAATCAGGCCTTCCACTACAGTGTCTTGGAACGACTTCGAAAATGGGTCCAGCGAGTCTGAAGGGACATTGCTAATGATTGGGCGCTGCACTTATTCACACAGCGTTTTCAGTTCGAGATATTTTAGCAAAAGAAACCATCCGCACAACTTCATACTGACCTGATCTTCCTCTATACGATTTCTACCTCTTCCTTAAGTTGAAATCTGCGTTACCAGGTCGTCATCATGGAGCCATACAAAGTATCAAAACGTTGTAACGAATGCACTTAGCACTCTTACGGCAAATTATCCGCAGTACTGCTGCGCTCATTAGAAAAAAGCGTTGGAATCATTGTGTAATTTCGCAAGGGTCATATTTTGAAGGAGATAATTTGTAACTTAAAGTATGTTTTATATGCATTTAACTAAAAAAGTCAGCGCACTTTCGGGACACAAGGGTAGTATCAGTAGCTAATGTAGTATTAAATAAGAGAGAATCCACCCAATCTGATTGGTTCATTATTGATAACATGCGCTCCGTGTCTTGAAACTGGGCGTAACTGTGAAAGACCAAACGTACTACTTCCCGGCTCGTTACCCGGTCACCGTAGTTTCCGCTTTTTATAGTCTAATTGTTGTAGTCGTGAGCTCTATCCTTTCGACAGACAGACAATGTATCCAGCGCTGACGAACCCCGACAGAACAAAACGGCGGTCCATTCCGGGTCCGTGTTTCAAATCAGGCCCAAATGCGCTTATTTTCTGTGTGTTAGGTTTTAGGCTCCCTGTGGCTTGGACAAATCAGCCTGTATCCCCACGTGTCCAGTGATCTGTTCTCTGCTTCTGTCTCCTTCCTTTTCAAGTATCCTTCGGAGACGCCTTTCTTCGTCAGCCTCAATAATAGGGAAGTCAAATCATCCACACGTTAGGTCTATCCGTGTCTGCACTCTATGCCTTATCGGTTAATAGTCAGCATTCTCTAGAACTTCACAGTCCCTCAAAATGGAATATCCTATGTCCTTGAAACACTGCTGAGAACAACAATATCCTGGTAAGGAGCTCATCCGGACATAAGACGGCTGCTTCACTGCTATTTAGTCCCCTGGTTGTATGCGGAATGGGACGCAGCGATTGCGCCAAACTTCGTTCAATAGCATTGGCCTAACTTTAGTATTTACAACTTACAATCAGGCGCCTGAACCACACACAGTTCCACTCCGTCTACACTTACTGTACTTAGGAGTGGACTTACACGCTTCGGGTCTCGTGTTTCATTTTGTCAAAATCTCCTGGCTGCTCTTCTAGTGTGCGTCCCAATGAATGACTCAATCTAGTCATTCCATCTTATCTCATGATTAGTGACTGGGTAAAAGATGCTTCTTATCGCTTCAGCCTATGTTTCGACCAGCTGTCAAAGTCGTACTCTGTGAACGACCATTCTGGCTAAAATTATAGAAAATGCGTCGCTTGCCTGTATTGTAAGTGTTCAACTTTTCCTCCTATAAAGATCAGAACACCACGTAGGATGACGTTTCGGGGATGATGCTTTTCGCACTACCAATGGCGGCCACTCTATTTCGCTGTGTATTTTCAACATCACATTTTTCCTGATCACTCGCTCACATCGAGATACGTGACCTTGTCGATAGGTAGGCCTTACCCAACTCAAATAGGTCACTCGGAAGTAGGTGACCCAGGTTTGTCCAAAGTTACCGGTCAATTTAATCATGCCGCCGTTTGAAATTGCCTAGCGTGTTAGATTACACGACGTCGACTGTTCTTAATTGTCTGGGACATTCTCAACCTGCGAATGTTCAGCTGAAGATAGGGATAAACGAATCATTGCGAATCATAACAAACTGCTATGCTCTATATACCTGTCACTCGACACCGTTTTTCATTTGGCTTTAGTTGTTTAAATAGTGCACTGAAATCTGTTGCTTCTATATGTTTGCGATAAGTTCCCGGGTGTCTGCGGCATTCCGAAACGAAGCCTCGTGATTAAAGGGCGCGTTGTTTGACTTCGTTCATTATACGCGGCTACTGCCATTTGGAGTACCAGATTGGTTTTCGTACTCAGGCGACGCATTGGCCAAACAATAATCCCATTATTCTGACAACAGCAGAGTAAAATGGACATTTGATTCACATCTATTTTAACATTATCGACTTCTGTACTCTCTTTCACTGTTGACTTGCTTTCATCCGCATAATTGCTTTGCAAACCGTAAGTGATCATTCATCTCACATGCCAAGCTTCTTCAACTTATCGTCTTCTCTCTGCCCAACCACCTTGACCGGTTGCGTCTCCAAGGTCTATTCGACCTTACACCTAGTATGCCACCCAATTATGCATTGTACTGCTATGCTATTGGGTTATAAATACGATTATTTTGATTACATCAGTGAACGAGCTATTGTTTTCAGGTAGCCTTTTCTCTGGATCTCGGTGCAGTCATGCGAAGTTACCTGTTTCCTCTCTAATCTCAACTTTCGTGCGCATGCTTAGCAGCCAACTCCCTTAAACCGCACTGATCTGAATTCAGTTGGCTACTCTGTGTTTGGTTTACAATTAGTCGAAAAGATTTCTTCCATTTTGACCAGGAGTTGAAACAGCTAGAACTTTTCTCATAGTAACACCGGCTATCGACACGGGTGCCATTTAGTCTGTGCCGGTGCCCTCTCCTATACCTATGTTCACCCCAATGACAACTCTTATAACGGTTCTTTACCTCGTTTGTGTTGATTCATAATTATGTCAGTTCTATATATGCTGTGATAGTAGAAATCGTTTTCCTTTCAGCTTGTCGGCTGATTATTCTGTGGAGCAAACGAACAACATCTATTTGATCCAGGAAACGGAGTGAGGTCATCGTACACGTTAGTGAAAAGCGGGCTTTTTCATTCATTTTTATGCATGCAAATGATTGATCGATTTGTCAAATGCCTCGCATTCAACTTCCACCACTTGCTCAAGTTAGGTCACATCGTCTATCTTGTCCTATGTCAATTCATGCAGTCCTTGTTTCACTGCCCGATCCTTCTGCTATCATCGACAGAATCGCCCGCGGCCAATGATGTAGGCTCGGGTTTAGATAACTTGTTTTAGAGCCAGCCATTTTAATCTATTTACGGAGAGCACGTATGAAATGAGAATATTCGTCGTAGCTGGTCTAAGCCAGACAGCCACCACACATTCAGGAAGGCGCTAGACGGCTGTTTCGTCCTATTGGGACTCGCCAGTAGCGCGCACTCGTCCAATCCTGCCTGATACAAACCCAGCGGTTTTCCACTAACCGTTGGTGATGGCGGCGGTCTGCCATGACTGTCATCCATTTGAGACGTAGCGCGGCTCATCCTCCACTGTCATGCATACTATGAACGTGCAGAGGACAGCGATGGGGTGTCCGGGGTGCCAAGGAGGAGGAGTAGCACCTCTGGTAGGGGAGCTGCCTTACCCTCCGGGATAGTCCGCCTATCTATGGTCTCCACTTGTCACTCAGCTCTCATCTGTGGCTCCAAGAAGCTGGTTGCACGCGACAGCGGCCACACCCCGGTCAACCATCGGGCAGGCGGGCTAAACCAGTTGAGGGTAGCCATGACTTCGTACCCGCGTGCAAAGTCAATCCTGATAAGTGGGGGGAAGTGATCGACCCTTGATGCAACGGCCAGAAGTTAAGACAAGTTCCCAGATCCCTACTGCCTTGCATCGACATAGCATGTCTGTCAACATCTCGAATACCCGGCTATGCTTCTCGACAAATCAAAGTCCCTCGTCTAGACACCTCATATTGGTTTTACCACGGTGGGTCGGGAGATAATTCTGGCAATCATGGGGTCGCCATGGCTCTCAATTGCCAAGCACACTGCACTCCTTTCATTGAAGCCAGTATCAGCTAGAATTGCAGTTGCATGCTTCAAAGGTCAGCCGATGAATCTGACCATAATCTCGGTCTACGCACCAACCCTACCCTCAGCGGAAAGGGATAAAAACGCATTTTGCGATACTCTACAGTGGTGAACCATGTTCCACAATGCGACATCCTCATTATTGCTGCGGACTGGAATGCACGGACCTGGCCTAGGAACGGTCAGATCCGTCATATACTCGGTAGATACGCCCTTGGAGAGCGCTGTGATAATGGAGACCGCTTGCTCAGCTTCGCTGATCTTATCCGGTTGTGCGTTACCAGTACTCGCTTACAGCATCCCAGGAAACATCTTCTGACGTGGTACTCCAACCATGGTCGTACAGTAAGTTAGATAGATTACATCTTAATCTGATCCCGGTGGATGTCCTTCATCGAGGACTGTGGAGCCTACAGAGGGGCTGAAACTGGCAATAAAGGTGATTCGGACATCCTACTCCTGCGCGCCGAATTCAGACTCCGCTTGACAACGCGGCAAAAGATTTTTCCACCAAAGCGTATCATTTCTGCCACACTGGAAAATACTGACTGCTGCCTAACCATTGTGGCAGCAATAGAAGCAGAAATTTCTACCAGTACACCGCGCCTCGTACTTGCAGAAGATGAATCTGTAGACGCTCGTTGGTCTAGGCTAAAATCGTCAGTTCAACGACAGCCGCTTTATCTACCCTGGGTTCTATCTCTAAACCTGGACTGGATCACTGAACATACTATCCGCTTGTCCGCTAAAGCGAGAGAAGCACGTCTCACGAATTCCCCAGACTACCGTCGCTTGAGACGTGAGGCAACCCGTTCAGCACGGAATGATCGCAACCGCCACTGGTCTGTTATCGCAGGCAACGTGGAAGCTGCATCAAATTCTGGCAATTTGGATTATCTCTTTCGTCTCGTCAGTTTAGATTCCGGCAAGCGCCGTTCACCACAGCCGATATTGCGCAATTCGGAAGGCAAATCATCCCCCATACGGAAGGAAAACTTCCCAGATTGGTAGAATATTTTAGCAGCCTCCTAAACCGCCCACTGCAAACCACCGCGCCCATTTCAGCACCAACCCAGTCAGGATATGACGCGCATTGCTCACCGCCACCTCCCACAGAAATTGCAAACATTATTCGTCGCCTGAAGCCGAAGAATGCTCCTGGAGCGGACGGGATTCCAGCGGAAATTTACAAATCTTGTCTACCAGCTCTCTTGATCATTTGCACGAGCTCTTCTGCTCGATATGGGAAATAGAAATCTGTCCTTTTCCATGGAGTACCTCAGTACCACTTCTATTTCCCAAGAAAGGTGGCCGAACTGTATGCAGTAATTATCGCGGGATTAGCCTAATCGATGTGGATGCCAAAACGTTCGCACGAATGTTGCTTCCCCGCTTTGCCAACGAGAAAAATCTGCGCACTCACCATAACCAAAGTGACTCGTCCAGGCAGAGGCTGCACTGATCAAATTTTTACTCTACGTCGAGTACTCGAGCACCACTACCACCTCCAGCAGCCCACGTTTGTGTGCTTCGTTGATTTTCGATTTGTCTTTGACTCAGTTGACCGCCAAGCACTCTGGAGAATCCTACTGGCCGATGGCGTGCTGGTTAAACTCGTTAACTTGATTGATATCATACTACCGTTGCACGAAGGCCCGAATTTGGATCTACAAAGAGGAAATAAAGGAATTCGACATCACTACTGGAGTCCAGCAGGGTTGCCCACTTTCTCCAATGCTGTTCAACTTCGGAGTCGACTGCGTTATGCATCGTGCGCTTGAGGGCTATCGTGGTGTTCAGGTTAGCTCTGACTTCTGGCTATTTGATCTAGAATTTGCTGACGATATCGCTATCCTTGCAGAAGATGCTATATCGCTACGGTCACTGCTAAATCGGGTCGATCCATCAGCCTGTATGGCCGGCCTCGAAGTTAACATCAACAAGACGAAGTACTTCTCATCGTTTGCCACACAGTCCACCCTGTCGCTCTCCTTACATGGACAACTCGTCGAATCTGTTCCTGATTTAAACTATTTTGAATCCATTATACTCCAAAATGGTCAGGCTACATCTGAAATCTGGAACCGTATTGACAGCGCTGGAACAGCCTTCTTACGACTGAGAAACCTTGTGGCGAAGGACGGAAATTAGTCTGAGAACGAAGTTCTGAGTATTCTCAGCGATCTTTCGTGCCATTTTACTCTATGGTTTCTAAACATGGCCGCTGCGATCCGAAGACACCCGGAAGCTAGGAGTCTTCGATCATTGGTGCCTAAGGCTTATTTTGAAAACGCAGTGGCAGGAGCGTATCACCAATGACGAAATCCGTAAGCACTGTTACGGCCTTCCGTAGCTCACGATGCTCATCCGCCGCCGCAGACTTCCGTGGTTCGGTTACGTCCTCCACAGACCAGACACTGACTTCACTAGGGCCGTAGTTTTGCCCTCCCTTGGCAAGGTTGGTGTCGTCGCCGTGGTGGACAATTGAAAATGTGTCTCGCTGCAGTGAAATCTGATGTCGATCTTCTGGGACTCCTTGTTGTGCATGGTGCTTCTCACTGGAGGAATTATTTTATCAGTATCTGCATGGAGCTTGCCGCTAACAATCGCGCTTGGCCAGCTGCAGTCCACAACGTTCATGAAGCCGGTTCATCCCGTCGCAGGATCTAGCCACAGTAAATTAAGTAAGAAGACAGGGCTGGACCGCAGGTCTACTACTTTCTTGCAACCCGTCACCAATCATGGTGGCATATAAGCTGCTAGGGCTATTACTGTTTACTGGTGTTTAGTATAGGGATTTATTGTTTTTGACAATATTCGTCGTACCTCGGAAGTCATAACACATCTAGGAAAGCGCTAGACCTCCTTTCCGTCCCATTGGGACTCGTCAGTAGCGCACAACTCCCGAATTCTATCGGATTCGAGCTCATGACTTTACTCTTGCGAGCCAGAGAACTATGTCACTGAGCCATGTCACTCATGTGAAATGAATCCAGGCCGTTTGTCCCATTTAGTTGTCTGTTGGCATAGTTTGCTCATTTCTTGTCTTGTACACTCACGGATGCATTGTGAAGTCGTATGCGTGCGATAACCTTCATCGTACAGCAGACACAAGTCCGCCCACCAGCGACAAACACCCCGTTTTTGTTCCCCTTTCGCAAAGCTTGATACATCCATAACGAATGCAAACCAATGGCAACAGTCGATCTAACTCATTGGTGATGGCGTGAGGGCTTTTACCAGAACAAAATGAGGCTACTCCATTCCACAGCGTTTACTGAACTCACTTGTCGACTTATCAAAATCGCTAATTCATTATGGAAGGCAGACACTGCTCGGTGTTCGCAAATTGGAATGCAGGGTTGTGTGCATTGTTTCTCTGTCGGTTATAGCACAATTATGGTACCATTTTACCTTTTCGACCTGTTTCCTTTAAAATTACATCTTTAACCGTATCTTGTTCAATTACTTTCCGCTGCTTACCTTTGCTCCTCAGTTAAAGTTTGTCTTCTTTTGTTAAAATATTCCCTCCAGATTGTTCTCATAGCTCGCCGGTGTCTCACCAAATCAGGTGCTGGATTCCGTGCCTGACGTCCTCCCCGAAACTTCTGCTATTTCAATCCGCTTAATGTGACCCTGGGGACTGTGAAAGGCTTTACGTCGGCCCTGTTATGTGCAGAAACAAAGGCTGCCAAACATACCTTTCATTCATATGCGCTCAAAACTATTTGGCGCAACACTTGGGGTTTGCCAACGTCGTCACCGTAATCCGGTTTGCGACAACTGTGTTCTTCCGAAATCAATTCTTTGATTGCATTGATACATCTGCTTGTTAATCTTTACTTCTAAGGATTATGGTCTCTCGTTCTTTCTCTTAATATCCGAATTGTTGCTAACCTTTCTGACATTTATCCTTAGTACCGTCGTATTTCAGAACTCAGATTAATTGGGTCTTGTGTTCACCACCAGTTATCACAACCCAAATTTCACTTCACTTGATTTCGCTGCTCCCATTCGAGTGCGTAGCTTTTCCCCTCGTTGTACTGGTGATAGCGAAATGACGCGAAATCCACGCACATTTTGCACTTCCTTCATTCAAAATGCCGAGAAGGTATGGTTGTTGATCC